GAGCTTACTTTCGATATCTCCGACGTGGCAGAGGAAAGCGGTAGTCGTATATCTGGTCGCTACGAAGTAGGTCGCCACCGGCCCTCAGACCCAGCCGCCAACGATAATGGGACGGGAACGGATGTCGACTTTTTTGTGTCCCTTAGACACGAGTGGGAGAGGAAGGTGCCTGGGTGGGAATCCTCAGGGCCAAGTCAATCCCCTCCAGGTAAGATATCAGGTCCTGCTTCACGTACCTCTAGTTTCGCGCTCCTCGGGGTCACTTGCCTTGTTCTAGCCCTGGCTGGCGCCTGGCCAAACTCTCGCTCTCTCGCTCTCGAGTTCCTATGCAATGGTCAAACTCAATTGGAGGTTCGCCTTCACTTGGCATTCTTGCACACCGAAACTTCCCACACTCAAATTTGAATAAATAAATATGGAAGCAAGCATCGCTGGTCTCACGGCTCAAGATAAGTGCTCCAAATAAACAACTCGTCCCTTCTCAACTGTTGATCTGCACTTCCGTACTGCTACCGTGTAGGTAGCTTACTCAAGTCCAACGCCACTTACTCTTTTCATTTAGTGACCATTATAGGAGCAGAGCAGAGTAGACAGTCCCACCGTTCCATTTCCAACTCCATTCTCCTCAAGTTCCAATATCTCGTCCATACACTTCTAGTTGTCCTTCGCTTATCAATACCCCAGTGTTCATTAAAAAAACAACAGTCATTCGTTGAACAAGTTACTTCAAGTCTTAATACTTTGAACAACCCACTATTCGGGCACATCGATATCAAAAGAAATTCTACCAGAGACAATACCATCCCCTCAGCCCTATTCAGCGTGAGCCCTGACGCTTTCACCGCAGGCCCCGCTTCTGACAACGTGACGAGGAAAGCAAGCCGCCGAGAAGATGGATCCCAAATGCTCCTGGTCGACCCGGCGTTACCAGAAGAACCCCGAAGAGATCCTGCGGCGCTATGGCCCAGGCTGCAGCCATGTCTACGTTAATGCAGCCTTGTTCAAGCGCGAACCTGGGCGTCAGAGTTCTGTATTGTTTGTGAAAGTACCTCTTGATCCTGCAAAACACCCCGCAGGTGCTGAGCACCGTGCAATCGAAAAAGGCGGCGTTTGGCAGCTACCGGGGGCAGAATGCTCGCGGTTTGATACCACCATTACGCAAAGACTCTGGCTCGAGGTGTTTAACTACCTGTGTGTACTCCTATCTAAACCCCGTTTGTTCTATTGTCACAGGCTGATCAATGAATGGCAGGAGTCTGCAAATCACAGACATCGAAAAAGTTATCCTGAAAGAGATCGTGACCGTTGATAACAAAGATTTGACTGAAAAAAAGGTGCTTGTTATCACGTTTAAAGCCAAGGTCAAGGAAAGGGAGCTGGAGATTGCCGATGAGCGATATGTCGGGCACCACTAGGCGTTGCGAACTGACCTTACTGACGTGCATTTCCGGATGCGATCCAAGGCTCTGGCTAACAAGCTTAAGTCGACTCTGTGGTATAAACACCTCTTTACGAATATTTTCGTGCCAGATGTCCGTCCGTAAACCACTTCGAGGCGGCACCACTTTGATGGGGTCCAGTCCGACATGATGTGTCAACAGCATCAGACTGTTGAACTTGTTTTACTTGTTTTACTTGAGGTCACCTGATGGGCCGGCAGCGGTTGCATACGTTGAAAGCGATTTGGGGCAGATTTTATATCTTGTATTATCAGCAGCGTTTTGTTCTTGGCCGGTGATTTTGGGGGTGGCCAATCAGAATGAATGAATGGGTGAACAAGAGTTGTAACTAACTTGCTGGTGACGTGGGGTCATATTCAGAATCCATTCAAAGGTTGAAGTTGTGTTTTACCTACCCTGCATAAGTTGCATGAAGCTAGGTATTTGTGCCCCCAGCGAATCTCAGGAGATGAAAGACATGAGTGAAGCAGATCAACCACTGCGGCAATACAAAGGGCGGTCGGCCAGAGGAAAAGCAATATGCGATATAAGAATATGATGAATTTCCCCCAAAACGAAGTCTCTAGGTAGGTACCTACTCTTGATCCGCCCCAAAACAGACAAATCATTTGCGACGACTTTCAAACAAGTGCCTGCTGGGTGAGTCTGTGTTCTCATCGGTGGTTGTAGGTATTGCTGCTGTGAGTCGGCCCCTCCCAGCCCGCCAAGCCACTCCTCATCTCGTCTCGACTGCTTACAGGTGCTACGTACAGAGAGGTACCTCACTAGACAGGTACCCAGGTAACACACAGGTCTGTCTAGACCGCCTTAATCGCCGGGCCCACTCCAGTGTGAACTTCATTTCAAGAGCTGCCTGCATCAGCTGCTTCTATCCTCCGTCAATCTCCACTCCCACGCACTCCCACGCCGTATGCGCATCGTCATCACCAATCCAACTCATCAGACTAGTGTCGTGACTTTCAGAGAAGCCTAGTCAAGCTGCAGGGCAGCTCGGTTCTCTCCGGAATATTCACGTCCTCCCTGTCTATTCCTGACTCTCGCTCATCATACCGGCTGTCTTCCGCTTTCTGGCATTGATCGGTCCGTGCCATGTCAATGCTACTGACCGATAGAGAGATTGACGATGCTGCCGACAAGCTAGCAGCATTTCGTGCAAGGAGTGAGGAGGAGGATTTTCTCCAACGTTATGCAGATCTCCTGATCAGGTACAGGCAACTGAAGAGTGACTACGAAGAGGAGAAAGTCGGCAGGGAGCGCTATAAACAGCTTGCGCGCAACCAAGAACGGAAGCCCTTCGTGCTGGTTATCGTCGATGGAGACGGATACATATTTAAAGATGAATATCTCCACCAGGGCGCTGATGGTGGCTCGAAGGCTGCCCAGCATCTGAACAACGTTATTAAGAAAAGCCTACAAGGGAAAGGCCTTGAACAATGCGATGTAATGATTCGTATTTACGCCAATCTCGCCAACCTATCCCGAGCTCTCTCCAAATACGGACTCGCCACCCCCGACAAACGCTCTCTCTCTCCCTTCGTCGCCAACTTCAACAGATCATACGGGCTAATGGACTTTGTCGATGCGGGTGAGCTCAAGGAGAATGCCGACTTCAAGATACGAGCTCTGTTAAACCTATATGCCGACAATTTCCAGTGCAAGCACATCTATTTCGCAGCTTGTCACGACGTCGGCTATCTCTCAGAGTTGACAAGATTTAGGGGAGACCGCAATAGAGTTACGCTTATTCGATCATCTGGGCTTCTGTTTCACGATCAGTTTCTCAAACTTGATCTGGGAATTGAGGAACTACCTGGCGTCTTCCGTACAGTACCTCTCGATGGGCCCATACTACATACAAAGCCTAATTCAAGCGCCGACTTGATAAAGACCACCCCTCCAATTGGACCGTCTTCCACCGCCAATACAACATACCAGGCTACCAGTTCATGGGAATCCCAGAAGGTATGCCAATTCTACCAGTCCGGCAAGTGTCGATTTGGGGGAGATTGTAAGAATGCCCATATCGATACTAGAATTTCGACCCCAGCTGGTTCAACCAAGCCCCTCTATCACTCTCAAATGGGGCACCAGAGTAGCTTCGACGCCGACATTATGAATAGTTCCGGTCGTGCGAAACCATCAGCCTCTGCGTCATTTTATGAACTCGATGGTGGACCAGCAGGCCCAATGTCGCCACTGAGAAGCGATCTCGTCTACCAACTACCAAAGAAGAGCGATATACCAGACGGCTTTGTGGCCGTGAATAGACTACTATATCGGCTAGATGCATACATGCAACCCCCTAATTCCGTGGCTTCTTCTAGACTTAGGGAGCTATCTAGCGTTAGAAAGCTCTGCAACAACAAACAACTGACGAATTCCTGTCCTAATGAGAACTGCGAATACGAACACAACCCCATCCCAGAAGAATTACTCCCTGCGCTAGAGTGGCTATCGCGTTCGCTACCTTGCCCGAAGCGAGGGGCCTGTAGGGTCCAATCTTGTGTTCTTGGCCATATTTGCCAGAACATGGAATGCCAGTATCGCGGTGGCAAGATTAAATGCAAATTATCAGGACGCGCACACTCGATGGATCTGACCGTGGACCGTTATCTGCCCGACCCTGGTCACGCTGATTCGATCGACACGGATAATGCAACCAACAGCCCTGGTACCATTACACCCTCCAACTCGAGCAGTCATGTGAATCAGGTTCCTGGTGTCGACCCCTGGGATCTTTCCTAGTTCGACACAGACGCGAGACTTGGAAACGGCCACGGCGCGAGTGGGAAATCGGACGAGAACGCTCAATTATCAACCGCGAAATTCGACGAGTCACTCCTTTTCTGATGAATTGTGGTTGGCCGTAAATTTCGACTTTCGCAGACTTATCGAGCGGGGAAAATAAAATGCCTTCTTTTACTACAAGGTATACGCTGGCATGTTTGACGAATATAAAACATTCGCCAAATCGGGCATACACTTAGCCAAAATTCTAACCTCCTTGACAGGGGGGATATTAGAACAATGTCATAAGAAACAACAATAGTTATTAATTAGCTCCCTTGAAAAATACCTAAGGACTAGGTAAAAGGGCGAGAAGCGGTCGGAGAAATTACCAGAGGCCTTAAATAACAGTCTGTTCTCGTAATAATACAATCAAAATCTCATATGTACCCTAATACCTTTGGTACATACATCTGCATCATCTGTGACTCCAATCATGACAAAAAGCCAGTGCATCTTGAATAGCTAGTCGCGCCTAATTACACGTGCCCATGCTGTACACTACAGCTTGTAGATAGTGCACTTTCTCATATCATGATGACACCATCCCCGCCCATGTACGACCCCGATATGCGCGCACAAACATGAGATGAGATGTGAGGAAAGTGTACCTACCTAATGTATGGAGCTCCGTCAAAAATGCCAAGACCTCCATTATCCACGAATCAGATCCTTGCCCACTCTGGGGGAGCCACTACTCCGAAAATAGATATCAGACCACCTAATGGCACTTATTTTCATTGCTGATGAACCGGCCTCGTGGCCCAATGGCAAGGCGTCTGACTACGAGTAGAGAATCTGATGTAAAACTTAATTCTCTGAGATAATCAGGAGATTCTGGGTTCGACCCCCAGCGAGGTCACTAAGCAGGATGGCTCCAGCCTGTTGTTTTTTAGCTTTCGTTTTGCTGCAGCTTATTACCGTCGCATTCTTTGAGTCCTATTGGACACGAAGTGCTGGCGGAAGGGAATCTGTTCATTCAACAATCGTTTCTCTATTATATGGCATATAATAAATAGTACCTTAGGTAGTTAGTATATACCTTTCAGCACTCAACTGCCAATTATCTCCTGTACTTCAGTTTGTTTTGTTATGGTCTGTGCATCGCGCTAACCTACGTGTGACTGGATGGTGATCAATTGCCAATTCTCTAACTAACCTAAGTGATTGATAATTATTCAACTTCTTCCACTCTATCGAACCAAATAAACTCATCCGCCTGAAGTTCTAATCCCATCTTGATAGCCCTATCATTGTGAAACATGAACTTCGCTGCCACGAGGTCATCACCGCCTGCCTGATAATCGCTCAAATGAGCAATGTATTCCGTTTGCTCGCGTACGTGGTCGAAAACTAGCGAGAAGCCAAAAGATCGATCATTGGCGTCGATGAAGAGTTTGTTGTCCTTGATGTCCACAGTCATTCCATGGTACCCTGGGTTCCAATATTCGCCTGTGTAAGCGCTGAGTGGCATCTTCTGCGGCTCTGTGTCTTCGCGCAAGACACGTCGCATCTCTTCCTCCTTTGGATCGTGCTCGTATTTTAGATTCATATCCGTCACCACTTTATCCCAGTCCGGTCGTTTTGGTACCGGCACCCCCAGAACCTCATCGATCAACTCCCGGGATAGAATCGTAGCTACATCTCCCGCGTTGCCTGCGTTTCCAAAAATAGCACCACCGAGTTTGAAGTCTGGTACGAAGAAATGCCGGCTTCCAAAACCAGACACGGAACCATCGTGGCCAATCACCATATGACCTCGGTAGTAGAATATTTCCAACCCAGCAGCATAGACTATTGGCGAAGTCAGCGGCTCCCTGTCATCCGGGTCCTGGGATGCGAAAGTTCGCATTTTAACGAGTCCTTGGTAGACCTCCTCGTCAATTGGAGGTTCCCGATTCATCATGGCCTTAACCCATTTGATATAGTCATTGACGCTTGTGATAATTGAGCCAGCTCCTTGAGCTTCAGGGCAGTCCAAAGCCTCAAAACCAGTGTAATGTTCGCTTTCCTTATCCCACGAATACCCGGTGGCGATCCGATAACCAAGACCGAAAGATTGAGTGCGTTCCAGTTGGAGGTGAGTTGAGCACATCCCGAGAGGTCCAAAGAAGTGCTCTTGGAGGAAATCGGCGAAGGTGAGCCCGCTTTTCTTTTCGACGAGGTACGTCGCAACTGTGTACATCATATTATTATACATGTACTTTGAGCGGATCGGTGCCGTGACCGACAAGTTTCGCAAGTTTCTCGTCACAGATCGCGCATCATCCGGCTGTGTCGCTCGTGGACCCAGATAAGAGTCATCGTGACTGTAAGTTTCAGCTAGAAATCACTCCCGGCATCTCTTTGCAGATCCTTACCGCGGCATACCTGTCCTATGGCTAAGGACGTCCTCGACGGTGACCCCTTCCGTATATCCCTGGCCTGGCATGACGAAATCCCCAGGGAGGAGGCTTGACATTGTCGCTTCGTATTGCACGTCGGGATATCTGTCGTTGTCACGGACTAGTAACCCCACCGATGCAGCCGTCATCGACTTTGAAGAAGATGCAATGTCGAAAAGAGTGTCTGCCGTGCATGGCTTCGGCGGATCAAGCGATGCTAGCCCATACCCTGCAGAGAATGTACGGTCGCCCTGTATGACTGCGACTGCAAGACCAGGCACATGGTGCTTTTCCATGAGCTCCTGGACGTGGGAAGGGAATTCTAGAGACTGAAGATAATCCATTGCTCGACGACTATTCGTGCAAGCTTCCTATGAATCTCTGTGACGAGCGAATTGGCTTAGAAGATGAGCTGTCGGATATCTGTCCCCAAAGTTCCTATCGTTCGTGTCGGTTTTAAATGCTTGAAACCCAACCGAAGACATACTCGGACTCATTCTGAATCATTCACGTCCTTGATGGGTGAGTCATCGGTGAGGGTGCAGGTCAGATTGAAGGACGCGCGGCATCAGCCATGACAGCAAGATATACATACAGTCGTATATAGCCAATAAAATATTGTCGACGTATTTGTACGCTATTTCTGCATATATATTATGCGTATGCGACGCGTAGGAGACGGCTGTTCGGCTATGTGATCTAGAAAACAGTTCTGCCAGTTGAGAAAAATGTGGTGGCAAGGGAGGATGCTCAAAGAATCGGGCGGGATCTGGCGCATACACTGGTATTTCAGTCAAGAGACCAGGGTGACAGAGATGACTGTAGAGGATGGCGCTGGGATCGATGCTCGCTCATATCAACGTAAATGGGAGCAATGAGAAACTGTTGACACAAGTTGACTATATTCAGTTCCCATGTAACAACACCTTGTCCATATGTAATGCCGAATCGAAGATCTAGATAGCAAGTATTCCGACACTTGAAATATTCGACGGGAATCGCCTTTGACAAAATGCTTGATCAGGTTATGTACGAACAATGAGTAGGAATGGCCTCAATTTGGAGGTGATGGAATTGAAAATTGGGCATCTCGGGGGGTTGCACGCCGACACATTGCCTGAAATCTCCCGAGGTCCCTATTGTGGTAGATGCGACGGTTATCAGGCAGGTTTAGGTACCTAACTCACTACATGTAGGTAGTACCATTCCCTGTTCAGCGCAATATTATAGCACCCACCTCAGTAAGTTAATCGCCAATCCGCTATAGCAAAGGGCTAGGTAAGTAAGTAGGTACGTAGAACTGCACGAATAATGCCCTCCTCCTTAGATCAGTCTTTAGACAGGTAAGTACTTACTCATCAGCTAGAACATATCGCTCCTGCAATCATACGTCTACATCATGTACTTACCTCGTACACATCAAATGGAACATAAAGTGCATCTCCCTGCCGAAATAGGACCTGCTGTATGTCGTTCCACGACTACCCCTCTTCGTATTCCTGCCCCTCCTCGCACACTGTTGGCATCGGCAGAATTGAGGGTTGAGTACCCTACTTTCACCTACCAACCTAACCTCCAGATTATGCCACTCACACCGGGTCCCTGATAAGTTCCCTATTATATCTCGTTTCTTGAGTTCATCATATCTTGCTTCTGAGCAACTAGGAGACCTAGGACGATGACTTGCTCTCGACATGATCTAAGCCATGGGTGGCAATTCCGAGAGGCGAACGATAGTTCGTCGAATGAAAACCCATGGCTTCCAGTGCAGAGTGTTCCTACTCAGGTTCATATTGATCTGCTGGCCAACAAGAAGTATGCTGGTGATCTAATTTTGCATAAGCTCTATCTCCGTTGCCCAGCAGGATCGTCTCAGATCCAGATTGTGACCCTACCACTTGCTTACGCTGCTATAGGATACCAGACCCCTTTTTAGACCTCAACGAGTTGGAGGTTCGATCACTCGCAGAGAAACGGTGGACATATCGCACACAATTCTCCAAACCTGCAGGGCTGTCATCCGAGCGATCGACGAAGACACATCTAGTGTTTGAGGGCCTCGACACCTTTGCAACTGTCTTGTTGAACGGCAACGAGATCTTGAAGTCTGATAACATGTTTGTCTCTCATCGAGTCGACGTGACTAGCCTACTCGAGGATACGAACGAGCTAGAAATCGATTTCGATTCAGCTATGCTTCGTGGGAGAGAATTAGTGAAGGAGCATTCCCATGAGCATACTTTCTACGTAAGGCAGACCGAGGTTAGCCGCGTGCCCGTCCGAAAGGCCCAGTGTATGTGATTTTCAAGTTGTTTATTTCCTCCTTTTTCGGAATCCCAACTCTTAAAGAGTCGAATCCTTCAGCTCAGGAGAATTGTAGCCCCATTTCTCTCGAGAACGCGAAGGGAGTGACTGACTGTCTACGATTGCAGACAACTGGGGCTGGGATTGGGGCCCCATATTGATCACTGCCGGTCCTTGGAAATCCGTTTACGTCGAGCAGTATGCTGCTAAAGTCGAAGATGTTTGGACTGAGTGTGAGGTTAGCGAGGATCTGCAAACTTGTTCAGGCTGTATTTTAGCCAAGCTGTCCGAAGCAAATGGCCAATCGGTCAGGTTATCATTATCATTGAATGGATCTGCTGTTTTCGAGAAAGAATGCGCAGTCAATTCGAGCGGGATCGCGGAAGCACCATTCCTAATTACTCGTCCAGAACTCTGGTATCCGTCCACACACGGCGCTCAGACTCGATATGAGCTGAAGGCCAGTCTAGGATCCTACGATACAAGATCTAAGATGGTTGGTTTCCGACGAGCCGAACTCATCCAACGAAAAGATAAGTTTGGAAAATCATTCTTCTTCAGAATAAACGGCAACGACGTATTCTGTGGCGGATCGTGCTGGATTCCAGCTGACAGCTTCCTGTCACAAATTCCGGAGCAACGATATCGAGATTGGGTCAAACTTCTGCTCGAGGGCAATCAAAATATGGTTCGTGTCTGGGGTGGCGGTATATACGAGCATGATACCTTCTACGATGCTTGTGACGAATTTGGGATAATGGTGTGGCAAGACTTCGCGTTTGCCTGCGCATCTTATCCTACATATAAGACTTTCCTAGACTCCGTCGAGACAGAAGCACGGCAGAATATTCGGCGATTGAGATCGCACCCTTCTCTGATTATCTGGGCTGGCAGCAACGAGGACTATCAAGTTCAAGAACGATACAAGCTCGAATACAATTACGAGGACAAGGATCCTCAGTCATGGCTCAAGTCAACTTTCCCCGCCAGATATACTTACGAATATCTCCTCCCAAAGATTTTGTCCGAGGAAGACCGATTCGCCATCTAGTATGTACCCTTCAGCTTTATTCTCCGGGTTGTCTTATTCTGCACTCATATTTTCTATGTATTCCCCGAACTGTATGGACAATCATTGATTCCTGGCTTTCTCGATAGCCATCCTACCAGTCCC